TGTGTCAAGCATTGGACATGTTTGTTAAGTCCCTTTGACAATGTCCTAATTGACACGCGTTAAACACGAGACTATAGGTGAGTGTAAACAGACACTCACGATGTTTTTTTAGCCGTCCAACTACCAACGTTTCAGAGGGCCCATTTAGCGGCGAAGTGTGAGTTAATGTGTGACTCGAAAAAAAATCAGAGGTCGCAAAAAAAACATTTGAAAACGCAGTTACGGCATTCTGCAATTGCAGCTGAGTTTCAGACGCAGCTCATGGATAAATAACACGTGACGGACATTTAAATGTTTTACAGTGTTTAGTTTTTTTCTCTTTTTAAATGCCGGTTGAATGTAAGCAACATTCTTACGAGGCTATTACATTTCTTGCTGTTGTGCGTCCAGGTCGCTTAACGCTTGAGGTAGCTGCTTAATCTTTAGCCGAGCGAACTGCACCACTTGGTTAACATTTTCAGCTAAGTCAACAGGTCAATTCTTGCCACGGCCTCGTCATTCATGACAGAGAATTGCCTCGCCGTCCTGTGATATCTCCGCCATTGCTGTCGTGATCATGCGTGCAACGATTCGCTCCCTTGGTGCTTTTATCATTTGTCCCAGATTCAAGAATAAATTATTGCAGTGTTGTCTCGATAACGCTGCCTCGTTTGCATTGTCCGTCTGACCATGCTCCGTCCTGTTTATTCCGTCCCAATGAGCCCATTCGTCTAAACTCTAAAGGGACATTCGCATGTAATTTGCATGCGATTTGCATGAATTTAGGATTTTGTTTAACGCACAAAGGGCATGTTTCTCACGCTGAACTTGTAGCCGACAGTTCGCCGGTTTTCCTTTCGCTGTGCTGCACTGGCAGTTGAAACAATGGTGCCAAGTGTCTTAACCCACCACCCTCCACCGCTTCCTCTACGTATGGTGTCGTGAATTGTGGGTACTGTTTCTACGCTTCATTTTCATGTCATTTAATTTATTAGGATATAGCCCCGTGAGCCATTCGGCTCTTGAATCGGGTGCAACCGCAACAAACAAAAACATGAACAAGAAACATCTTAAAGTGACGACGCGCAAACAGAAAAATCCAGGAAAAAAACAGCAAAGTCTTCCAGAAAAAGCACCGAATATCTCAATGCTGTGTGCAAAAATCCCAGTGGGATGCAAGTCGAACAATAAATGACTTTACCGAAAGAACCAAAGCGTGCTCTCCCCACCTCTTTCCGAACTAAGGACGGTCACTGCATCGCTCGCGCTTTCAGACATGCTTCTGCGGCCGTCCTGGAACGCTCTTCTTTCCAATAGTATGAAGCCACTGGTGGTGCTGTGCACTTTTAAATAATCTCGATTGAAAACTAATTTATTTAGAACCGCTTATTGTATTTAGTTTGCTGTCCTCCCCCCGCACCTCTGATTAGCACAGTTAGCTACGTACGATGCGAAATGAATTTTGATAAAGCTTTCGTGACTGCAGGGATTCATATTCTTGGTTCTTTCGGTAAAAGTCACGTAGAAAGGAAATAATAAAATAAAATAAATATAAGTTCAACATAAAGTACATACGTATAGATGTCTGGCCAGAGTTGAAGAGCAGGCCAAAGTAGCCCCTAGATGGGTTCCCTGGATCGCCTTCACGTGGAGGCTGTTCTGCCGGCAGTGGCATGATACAGCGATTGCAGGGCTGCACCTTTATCCTTTGACAACAAAGCTAGATGTGTACGATTGGAGGTTGTGACATCAACACGAGCTGACGACACAATGGATAGACAATGGACAATAATCATCGTGACATTGAGAAATGTCTACTCAAGGCAAGTTAGCCAATGTCACCAGTCGTCACTCTACTCTTACAACTCTGCCCCGTCTACACATTCTAAACCCTTTTGTTAAAACAACCTAGAAATATAAAAACAACACGCACCGCAAGTGTACATTTTGTCCGATTAATATTTAATCTGCGTCAAGCCGACTTCAGTTTCGCTGTGTGCAGAGGTATGTGCCACGGGGTGGTTCAACTTAACACGTCGCTTTGCGGCCAAAGGTTCATTCGTCCCCGTTGCTTAAGTGTGGTGGTACAGCTGGGGTGCAGGGTACAAAGGTGATAGCGCAGGACCGCTGAGTCGTAAAGGAAACTTTTTTTTTTAGTTACTCTCCCCAGGGTCGTCTCGCAAGACACAATTGCTCCTCGCTATTGATCGAGGAGGAATAAAATTTGAGTGGAGGAGAGAGAGAGAGGGGGAGACGGTCAAGACACCCTAGGAGTACACCGGTAATATTCTCCCGCGGTCTCGGTCGAAGTCGCGACGTTGGTGCTGCTCGCAGAAAGTGTCCCCTCCTCTCTGTCTCGCTCGTGTGCGGTGGCGGCGGCGGCCTCGTCACGGAGAGAACGAGTCCTCGTTGTTTTCCGTGCGGACTTTTTGGGTTTTTATCGCTCGGCGCGCAGTTTTATTTTGTTCGGCGCGTCGGCCACGTTCGCCTGATGTTTGTTTCGCGGAGGAACTCGCGGCGTCGCGACTCGACCCGGGGAGTGGACTTCTAGAGGCTCGGTGCTCATGATTACGAGTTCAGCGATGCACAAATAATGAGTTGCGCTGAAGTGCATCGCCCAGCCACGCCTGGCTCGGTGGTAGAGCGAGCGGCTCGCGGTGGGAAGGTTGCGAGCTCAACTCCTGGTTGCTGGGGCAGTCAACGGTGGTTTTCCTATGGACAGCCTCAGCCCTGCCTTAGGAATGAGGAATTTCCTCAATTGGCTCAAGGCTGTAAATAGGAGATCGAGCACTGCGTCTTTGCTCATTTGAACAGAACATCACCTTCAATTTGACTTTTGCTGATCAAATTAAAGCTGTTTCTTAAATACTTGATGAACTGTAGACTTAGAAAAAAGCAATTATTAAATCACACGAACGTGCAAAATGACGCGTAAAAAAACCAAAATTGCTAAATGCGTGGGTGCTTTGCATCTGCTTCCGTGTATTTTTTTAATTCACTCGCCTATTCAAATTATCAAGCAATACCCTGCAATAAGGGGAATTGTATGTTTATTTAGCCGCACGGCGGTGGCTATGCACGCAGCCGATAATCCAGCGCGACGGAGGCGAGGGCTGGTGGATCGCACAAATGTTGAGTACCTCCCTTCCCGTGGACGTTGAGGGCTGTTCTCACCCTGGCCCGCCAGGAGAAAGCAATGATCTGGACTCCAGCTGTTCTCTCCGTATGGGATCGTGTTTGCCCCCCCCCCCCCCCTTCGCACGCGTGGGGTTTTCTCTGGGTGCTCCGATTTCCTCCCACGTTGTAAACACTCGTTAATTGGCCGACAACACCTTTATATGTAGAGGACCGCAGAGCTTGGGCAGTTGTTGCTGCAGCCGGGCTCGCCACGTGGCCGCCTTCGCCTGCTTGACTGTCGGTTCCTCCTCGCACCACGGAGTCATTCTCTCTGTGAGAGTGAGCGAATGACGGGCACATGACAAGTTGAAAACATAAAATTATTTAAATAAACTAGCGACCCGCACGTCCTTTGGACTGTGACCGTCCGTCCATCCTGTCCTAGCCAGCAAAATGTGTAATCTTAAATGGAGCCCCGTCTCTCTCCACCTTTTTCTTGTCTTCTCTGTGCCGTATATCACCGTTTTGTTGATCTCAATTTCTCACTTTGCCTCTGTCAATGTCAGGTTTCTCTATCCTCTGTCCCTTCTTCTAACGCTCCCTCCCTCAATGCATCTCCTCCCGTATTAGATCACGTGATTGTGAGAAGTGGCAGTGGCATGGGGGGGGGGATACCTTTAGTTCTGAAGTAGATTGATCGTGGCTGACTGATGACGATGATGACGACAGTAAAACTGCAGCATGCTTAGTTGAATAAACGTGTAAACAAATGGGGGCATTTATATAGATCCATCGGCTCCGGTTTCACAGGTGTCTCCAGTGTCATCCAGGTCGATATTATCAGGCGCGTTCTCATGGTCGGAGTCTACCATTTCAATGACCATTACATGCAATCGTGCGTGGCAATGGGTGTGGGCAACAGATATATAGCAGTGGGTGTTCCCGTATTTTGAACTGCAGAGCAACGGGTACCTGTGAAGGTGCATGTGTTTATATACAATATACAGTAACCGTAAACAGGCAAGTGCTCATCTTCTTGGTTCTTTCGGTAAAGTCACGTAGAAGGGAAAAAATAAAATAATAAAAATAAAACATAATAAAATGCAATTCTCACGACGTTTCGGCCACAACACAAGCAGCCGTCCTCAGGTGAAGAACAGGGCTGTCGGAAAGACAGCGTCCGAAATGCTTGCGTTGTGGCCGAAACGTCGTGAGAATTGCATTTTATTATGTTCTATTTTTATTATTGTATTACTTCCCTTCTACATGACTTTACCGAAAGAACCAAGAAGATGAATCCCTGCAGTCACGAAAGCTTTAAATCAGACAAGTGCTGTTAGCGAGGACTTACGAAGGCCGGCAACAGCACGCGAGGATGGGGTGACCAACACCACACCTGCCCGCCTTTGTCTCCCTAGTGCTGATGTGTATACACCACAGCAGGTGTAGCGATTTAAGGCTAGAGGTGGCCACAAGGCCGGTTCAAATATTCGCCACTGTCATTGGCCGTGAACGGAAACTGAACTCCGGTCACGAGGTCCGCAGAGCTGTTGGGAGTGATGGCAGCTGCAGCACATTGCAGGATGGAGGGACCGTGTAAAACTAACATGAGAGAAAAATAACAAAATATTTAATAATTATAACAACAGCATATATTTGTAAGGTGCATTTAATCCGTAGATCCCATGGTAAAACCCCTACTGCAAACCGGATAAACAATAATCAGTTCTTAAATACAAATCAAGAACAGTGTCAAAGAAATCCCGTCCCAGACGTCCGTGTCAATAAAGCGTGCACACAGCCTCCGACATCATGGGGCTCGGGCAATAGCGCGCACGGCAAATTGTGGCAGAGGTGATCCCAACGCTCAACCCGGGGCTGCGTGTGTCTGTGTGTCGCCGCAGGCATCGCAAGCGCCGCTGGGGCAGGAGAATGGAATCCGACTCGGAGGGCAAGTCCTCGTACGGGGTGAAGTCAAAGATGGACGAGAACAGCACCCTGGTCCAACGCCGCTTCCGTAGGGTTGTGACCAAGGACGGCCGGAAGCAATGTCAAGATCGGGAACGTGGAGGACAGGAGCTCCCTCTACATGCGCGACATCTGGACCACGTTTCTGGACATGAAGTGGCGCTACAAGCTGGCGCTGTTCAGCATCACCTTCGTCGGCACCTGGTTCGTCTTCGGGATCTTCTGGTACCTGCTGGCGCTGTCGCACGGCGACCTGGCGGAGTTCAACCCCCCGAGCAACCACACCAAGTGCGTGATGAACGTGGACACGCTCACCGGCGCGTTCCTCTTTTCGCTCGAGTCGCAGACGACCATCGGCTACGGCTTCCGCTGCATCACCGAGGAGTGCCCCCTCGCCATCATGCTGCTCATCGTGCAGCTCGTGCTCACCACCGTCATGGAGGTGTTCATCACGGGCACGTTCCTCGCCAAGATCGCGCGGCCAAAGAAGCGCGCCGAGACCATCAAGTTCAGCCAGCACGCCGCGATATGCAGGCACGACGGCAAGCTGTGCCTCATGGTGCGCGTGGCCAACATGCGCAAGAGCATGCTGCTGGGTTGCCAGGTGACGGGCAAGCTGCTGCAGACGTACGTGACCAAGGAGAAGGAGACGGTCCGGCTCAGCCAGACCAACGTCGACTTCCAGGTGGACACGTCCACCGACACGCCCTTCCTCATCCTGCCCCTCACCTTCTACCACGTCATCGACGAACGCAGCCCCCTCTTCGGCCTCACGGCCTCGGGCCTACGCAGCAAGGAGTTTGAGATCGTCGTCTTCCTCAACGCCACCGTGGAGTCAACGAGCGCCAGCTGCCAGGTGCGCACCTCGTACCTGCCCGACGAGATTCTCTTCGGGTACGAGTTCGCCCCCGTGGTGTCCCTGTCGCCCAGCGGGAAGTACGTGGCGGACTTCACGCTCTTCGACAAAGTGACGCGCACCTCGGGCAACCTCGAGGCCTTCAAGCCGCCGCCCAAGCTCCCCAAAGCGGAGAAGGAGGAGGAGGAGGAGCAGCACCTGCCCACGTTCGAAGAGGTGACCGCCTCGTCCTGTTACTCGGGCAGCGAGGACCTATCCGAAGAGAACCGCATTAACATGCGCATCAGCAACGTGTGATTGCCTGCCGCCGTCGGCCGTCACCGATTCATTTTGACGACGTGGACTCCCGCTTGCACTTGCGCCGGAATAATGGGCTCATGTTACAAAACTACGAATGATTGTCCGGCTCTGAGATTTCCGTCAACTGCCAGAATGCGTGTTTTTTTTTTTTTTTAACGCTTCTACCGAATGGTAAGAACAAAAATGTTTTTAATGGTAACATTAACCCTTGCACATTTTAGTCCAAATGACGCTTGGCCTTGCTGTTTGGCTGTATGAATGACGTAGGAGGTATCAGCCCTGTTTGTGTGATGCGAATTCGTGCCCTATGCATATGTGCACCGTGAACAAAATCTGTAATTGCACACGAGGGATACATTGATGTTTTACAGCCGTCTAATTACACTGTTAAAATGTAAACAAATTAATTTACACCTCCTTGGGAAGCCACTCCCCCATGCCACTTGGGTTGCGGTGGTTGTTTGGCCATATTTTACCACTCTGGTAACAGGGACTGGTGAGCGAAGGGAGGGGGAGGGTTGGCCTAGGACGAGTTTAGATATCACTGCGCCACTGACGTTAGCCGTGGGCAGAAATCAAAATCAGGTCAGCAGATCCGTAGAGCAGTGTGCAAACCACTACACTACCACCACTACTACTGCCACCAAACCATACATCAAATTGTTATACAAATGTACACAAGTGCGACTGATAAAATCAAATGGATAGTAATCACATCATATCAAGAGCTTTGGCATGTATTAATTTAAGTGTGTAATCTCTGATCTCGGTGATTTAAATGAGACGTTAAATTGTATCACTAAGATGCCCACAATGGTTATGAATGGGGAGTGTTCTGATCATGGTACAGGTATCCCTCGATTTAAAAACGTTGTGTTTGCGAAATTTCGCGGTAACGCAATCGACAAATTATGGAAATTTTCGATGAACGAAATCGAATTTCCGCGTTCACGAAATGTCACTGCGTGCCACGCACGCCGTGAGATCATGAAACGAGAAGCCACCCAGAGGAGGCCGCTGCATCATCATCCCACACGCAGTGCAGCAGGAAACTCCTCCATCACAATCACCACCCTGGCAGTCATTCCAACATGCAGATGTTTTGGTGCGTGCACTGAAAAGGTCAATTATTTCTTTTTTTAGTTTTTAATTAATTATTATGCAATCGTTGTAATATTTATGTTCCGTATTATTATTATTTTTATTATTTTTGTATTGTTAAAAGTGATGAAGGTGTATATTGTTAGGTTAAGAGTTGGAGTAACTTTTCCGAAACACACCCGCTCTCAATTTCTCTATATTAAATTAATGGGGGAAAAGCCGATTCCGGTTTTCACGAAATTTCGTCTTTCGCGCGGTCTTTTTTCTTCCCAAGACCGGCATCCCCTTTTGGTAAATCGAGGGATACCTGCACGAATTATGCATCATACAGTGTACACACTCGTCGTGTTCACCACAGGCAAGGGACACGTTTTACGAAGTGTGAGACACCCTCAGCGGGAGGAAAAGGGGCTGCCAATGGCTGTCATCTGTGGCCCACTAGTGGCTAAGGGAAGTTGCTGCAAGCAAAATTGTCCTTTGCTTTTCTTTGGCTCCACTTAGAGAGAGCCCCCGTGAGTCAATGAAGTGATTTGGGTCGGTTCCGCAGGTAGTGGGAGCAGCTCTACCAGTGTCGTGCCTCGAGCAGACACCCGCGTCTAATTTCTGTCGATGTCAGAGTCGGACTTGCTGTTTATTTTCACGTGTCGCCCAGGTGACTCGCGATCACATTCGTTTTTAATTTCCTCGAACGATGTTCTCTCTATCAAACGTGCTACGCTTTTAAACAAAATTAGTTTTTAGCAACCTTTTAAATTATAATTGTTTTTTTAAACTATCAATAAACGCTACAACGGTAGGTGTTTGTAATGTGGAGATTCAAAGTTTGACGTAAATCCTTGTTAGCATTTTGCGCCCTCGATGGTACCATGGGCTAGGCCAGGAGTTCAAGGACAATGTAAGAGAGTGCCATTGTGTGAGGCTGACCGCTTGCCAGTATCCGTAGGGCAATTGGCCTCTCTAAACCAATGAGTCACATCTGCGGTTATAAATACGGTGCGGTGAACACGCCTGCATTGCTCAATGCTGGACCTCTACACGCCTCTGCTCACCTGTCCCTGTGTAGGATGATTGGTGATGTGCCTTCTTCACGCGAGTGTCCACTTGCAGGTGCTGAAACAGCACGCGGTGCCTGGTAGCGATGAACTTCGTAGAGGCGACGCGAAATATACTTCTCAATTCTGGTTAAATTTCGATTTAAAGCTTTCGTGACTGCAAGGATTCATCTGGTTAAATTGTTATTTGTTTTATTGTCGGGAGTTTTTCCCACCCCCCCCCCCTCCGAACTGATGACACAAGCACAAATCTGTGGTTAATCACTCAATGATTCGATGACTAATCAGCGATGTTTCGTGATTAGTTGAGAGAAGGGGTCAATCATTGATTCGGTGTTTTGCTGTTTTCTTGCGTGTGTTTTGTTACGGGCAGAGTGTCAGGGACGTGACTATCTCTCTCAGAGTTGGCAAATCGCGCCATTCCAACACCCCCCCCCCCCCCCTATCACAGCTGAGTCATGTCTTTACAACGTAACACAATCGAATCTCAACCGCAGTGATGTGTTTGTAGACCGTAATGCCGCAACTACGTCCGTGATTTTAACTTTGCGTTCAAAATCTGCGTTGAGATCAAAACCACAGGAATCCGTGACGATCTCCTTTAACATTTCCACGACTGAAAATCGTTACAGCAAAGTGTTTTTTTTTATTTCGTCTAAATTGTGGCTTTAAATAATGTTGGCCACTTTGCAGCGGATGTGAAGTCGAACTTGTACAGAGCCACGGTGCGATGTGAGCTGCAAAGAGCTTTGGCACAGTGTTAGGCGCATAGCACCTATGTGCGCAGAGTGGTGGTGCCATGGGCTCTCATGTGTGTGCACGTGTGGATATACCGGGGAACGGTAGTGTAGTGGTTAGCAACGCTATGCCATGCCGGCGACTAGAGTTTGATTCCCGCTCACGGCCAACACCAGTGATGATTATCTGAACCGGTCCTGGGGCCTCAAATGAGTAGCTGGTGCGGTGTGTAAACATCGCCACTGGGGAGACAAAGGCGGCCGGGCGTGGTGCTGGCCACCCACCCCGTCGTGTGCCGTGCCGGCCTTCACAGGTACTGGCTAACAGCACTTGCCCCAACAGTCTGTTAAGGCTATTCGGGGGAACTTTGTCTCCATACCCAGTGCTTAATTTCAGCCGGAACAACTCTAGAACCGCGTCTATGTCATCATTTTTTGGACACGGCACATCCATCTCGCCTTATTTTGTTCTTATGATGCAGTTTATTATCGTGTTCATAGAATTGCAGGAATATATATTGCTGTAACGATAATATAGGATTCTTATAAATATACGTACTTTGCACTCTCGTGGTAGTGCCTTATCACACCGATAACCCCTACTCCAAGCCAAGCCTGGCAGTGCTGTGCAAAATATCGAGTGAGAAATTGAGCCCTGGGTGTATGGGACTGCTCGATACAATAGGTTTGTACATGTGTGTGTGTGTGTGATGTGTAGTAGCGTACATTTTATACACGCCAATATACGGAGTGCGTTAGTGCCATCGGATGTGTGGTGCCAAGTGTATGAAGGCATTAGGGTTTGTATCCATCACCCTACGCAATTTATGGATGTTAATGTGTAATGCATTGACCGTTGGGACTGCAGGCGATGCTGAGTCTGTGCTTGGTGCTTGAACAGACACGACTGCAAGTCGCCGAGAATGAGAGCAAGTGTTGAGCAAGTGGTATTGCTTCAGGATTTCTAAATAATTACTGTCGTGCTTGATATGAAGGAGGTATATGGGAAAAGCAGCAGGTTTGGGAGGCTGTTACATTGGATGAACATTCAATAGGCCATGAGCACAGACCAGATATTATTTTACTTTTCAGTACCACCTCAGATGGTACAACTTTTCGCGTTTCTGATTTATTTGCGGTCAAAAACTTGGGTTGCCACATGTCCAGGTAGAACCTGAACAGGTGGCACTTCAAGTGACAAATGGCAAGATCCGTATTGGTTGGCTTTGACCTGGAGAGTCTTGAGATCGGGTGCCGGTTTTGTGTTGTGGTCAACTTCATTACAGGACACTGTAGAGTTTTGATAAGATCTAGTTGCTGAGTGACAAAATATGTTTCCATTTGTTTTACTACAGTTTGGAAAAGGTGGTAACCTTAAAAGGTGGTAACCTTATCCACAAACAGTGAATTACATGGCAATTGTTATAAATTAAGTGGCTTATTAGATGTATTTATTCGTATTAGCCACATAGATAAAAAAAATTGCGACGAAAGATTTGCTACCTTGGTACCAATTCCTGCTCTGGTTCATAGACTATAATTCGCTAAATGAAAACCAGTGTAAAAAATGGCTTGCTTATAACAAAAAACATCTCGGTAATTTCCCACTATAATTCGCTATAAATGAAAACCAGTGTAAAAAATGGCTTGCTTATAACAAAAAACATCTCGGTAATTTCCCACTATAATTCGCTATAAATGAAAACCAGTGTAAAAAATGGCTTGCTTATAACAAAAAACATCTCGGTTTTTTTCCCACTATAATTCGCTAAATGAAAACCAGTGCTAAAAAATGGCTTGCTTATGACAAAAAACATCACAGTAATTTCCCACTATAATTCGCTAAATGAAAACCAGTGCTAAAAAATGGCTTGCTTATGACAAAAACCATCACGGTAATTTCCCATGGTGCATTCAGGGAGCATCGATTGTGCACTCGAGGCGCGCACCGTGTTACGCGAGCGGTCAAAGACGGTGGTTGTGGTTGCTCCGAATAACATGGCAACGGAGACTTGGGAAGGGTCGACTTTACCTTTCATCTCCCCCCCCCCCCCGAAATAAATTGGCCAATTAAAAAAAAGCACAACCCTTTTAAAATAAGAAGGCTTCTCCTTAGAAAACAAATAAAACATATTTTAATTATTATTATTAATAAATGGCCATATTGCATTGTTGCAACATTGCTGTATAATTGAAGTAATAAGGAACGTATGGTATTTTAATATTGCTGGGTGCTTGCTTATGCATATATTTAATATTTTATTTGGATTTGATAAACGTGCACAATTTATCCAAATCTCGGATTAAATTGGGGCTTACTAATGCACATTTTCAAAGGGAAGTGAATATTAAATTAGCTAGAAATTTATTGTGCAAATGTGCACACTGTCAAGACTTGGAAAGCCTAAAAACTGGGAATGAATGAACGTTAATACTTAGAGCACAAGTATCAGCACAAGTATCGTCTTCACGTTTGGAGTGTTTTAATTAAAATCAATTAATTATCTTGACTCTTACAGACTGCATCATCCTTTGTGATCGAAACACTGAGGATGGACTATTTCTAGACTGTGTTTACCTGCCCATCGTTTGACTGTAACCATTGCAACCCAAACCTTTAATTATAATTCGGGCATCATTGAATTGTTGAGAGGCCCTCAAAATGACTCTTACTAGACTCCATCGTTCCTAATGTTGACCATAGCTCTCAACCTAGCGTCGTACGGAAAAACAACGTCTCTAACTCACGCTTGAACTGCCAAGGTAAAACTCCTTTTGGGAACCATTAGTCTATTTGTGATTTTAATATAGGTCTATATATTTGTTATAACTTTTTTTTTATAATTCATAGTACTCCTACACAGCCAAATTAATTCCAAAGTGGGACATCTATACGATGACACACAATTAAAAAATCTTCATAACAGGGCTACAAACAAACGAACATATCTTCCTAATATATCAAGTAAACATTTTAATTATAATTTAATATATTAGCTCTAACTTGATATTGAACAACTTGCAATGTGTATTTTAGAATTGTTATTTACTTATTTTTACCCAGGTGCCTTGATGTCAGAAGGAAATATTACACGCTTTGAACGCCGAAGTCACTGTACGTTGTTGTTGTTGTTGTTTAAGGGTGCCTGTGTTTGGGTAAATCTTGAATGTAACTGTCGTTGGTAAAAAAAAAAGAAAAATTCGTACGATGTGTCGTCGAAATCCACGAACCTTTTTGTAAAAAAAAATATCTAATTCGTTTTGGTTTGTTATCGATAAGCGCCGGAATACTGTACGCAAAGGGGAATGAAGAAACGTTTAGGAATGAATATTACTGGGTTTGGTGCTGCCTTTTTCTCAAAGTCCACTACGTCACTTCAAATAAATGCCTACAGTTCGCGAAACCACACACACACGCGCGCGCACGCACCTATACCAACCAGATCCACTTCTGCCCTCTTTGTATGGCTACGAGAATTGACAATTGCATGTCAAAGGGTAATTTGACAGCCACTTAAGCGCGCCGTGTTTCTGCGTGTTCCCCATTTCTTCTCTCAAGCTTTAGCGACGCGCTCCTGTGAGCATCTTCCGCTCGGAACACAAGCGGCTGCAGACGCACATGAGCTGGGATTAACGGCATCACATCTACCATAATAGCAATCAAATGATCGTTATTATGAAGGAGTATTTCTCCCCAAGATGGAGTTACGCACCACTGTTCTCTCTGAGTGAGGGGCTAAAGTTCAGACTGACTCCTGAGTGTGACCCCTTCCCCCACTCCAAACCAGTGTGTCTGCTCCAGCGGTCCAACTTTCTTGTTGTTATTGTTGTTATAGCTGCCACCAACTCACCCAGCCCCCCGAGGGTTTCGATGTGCTTATATCAACCGAGACAGGGTGGTGGCCACTGGCACGCTTTTTAACCGGGTCCTCCACTCCTGAGTGATCGGTTGAACGCAACTCCGTCGCATGGAACTCAATCGCTCATGCGCAGACAGCTCTGCGACCGGTTGCGAGCAGTTGTGACAACCGGTTGCGAGCAGTTGCGCGATCGGTAGCTCACATTAGAGACAGGGGGGACCGTGCCTTCTATGATTTGGCTGTTGCTGTGCTGAATACACAGTTTCATTTCCTTGCGATAATACTAATAAGTCCGATTCGTAGCGTCGTGCCGAATTCGTGCGGCGAGGCAAAAAACGTCGTGGTTACCCGCCCTGATGTGCACGAAGCAGTTGCAACGGAGATTTATGTTGTGAAATGTCAGGAGAGATTTGGGTTCCAACTGGTCGCTCGGGTGTGGTCCCGACATTATGGTTTTCAGAACCCACCAACAACACCCACTGACACGTGGCTCCAAGACACCACTAACATGTTGCTGTTCTAGAAAGTGTACTGCACGTTGATATATATTTTTTAAATAAGTCATCCCATGGTCAGCAGTAGTTACGGTTTGGTAGTGGTTGTCTCGGTTGTAAGGATGCAATTTCCACATGTTTATGGCCAGGACTACTTTGTCTGTAAGACAACCTTGCATAGTATTCTTACCCAGCAGTACATGTTTCACTACGTGGTGTTTACTTTATTAACCGCTGAAGTTTGGTGATGAGTCAACCCTTATTGGAATTTGAACTCCAAAACATATGAGCATATTGCTCAAATATTTGCCGACGACTGCCAGACTTAAGGCCCACTTGCAGGCCAGGTGCTAAGTGTAAGTTGCCTTGTGCCATACAGAGGCGTCTGACATGGGTGGGGGGAGGGGGGGTAACCTTCAAAATGTTTGAGATTAGATGCGAGTCGCTTAGTGCTCTGAAATGCCTCGGCATAAAGGGCACCCTCATCAAAGTCAAATCTTGTTAAGGACTTTGACATTGCAGCCATAGTCACCCCACTGCCGAATGAAGGCCTCAAGCCACCGCCATGGCCACCGCCACCTCTGTGCTGAGATAATCCCCCGCGCACACCTTCACGCAAACCACATTTAATCGCCCCCATATCCTCAATGGATGTCCTGTCGGACGCGTCCCGTGTCTAATGCCGCCACTCTGCACAGAGTCAAATTAGTGGAGTTCCTTTTACATAATTCTCCTCGATATCACTCCAGTGCCTACCGCAGTCAAGCGAGCCGTTTTTCCAAATCACACAACTAAGACCGTCCTTTGCTAGAGCCCAATTCTTCTCGCACTACAGTGATCACCTTGACCCAAAATGCCTTTGGGACAATTGCATCGTCCTGCAGTGAGCGGTTATCCTTGTTTGATGTATCGGCCACACATTTTTATGGAACCTGGAACGCTGTGTTCATGCAGTGGGTCCGTTACAACGGAATCTTGACCATTGCGGCCCTTGCAGATACATTTTGAATGTTAAACACGATCTGCTGTCTATATTTCTAGTCCTTACACAGTTTCCATCAACTACATTGTCTAGCCTACAGGTTATTGCAGCAGCTATATTTTAACGCTGCAATGTGACATTTAAGGAGTAAATTCTGCTCCCTCTTGTGGAGGGCCTTTCTACCAGCCGTGGTTCGAGTGGGTGCTGCAGTGGCGAGATGGTAACTACCTCGCCTGGTATACAGGAGGTTGTCGGTTCGATCCTGACCCTGACGACGCCTGTGGAGTTTGCATGTTCTGCTCGTGGTCGCGTCGATTTTTCCATGTGATAAGCCACTTCGTTGAGCTATCATTTGTGGCCAGGTCACTTTTGAAAAATAGCAATATAGCTCGGCGGGCTTTACCTGGTAAAAAAACGAAATCGTTTAGTTGAGAGTGAGCAATTGCAGGGCTGCGTCTACTCTGCGGCGTCATTCAGGTTTGACTTCTGCGTTCCACATTTAATCTATGAATCTGTAGGATAGCAATTTATTTTTTAACGTCCATCAACAATCGTAAAAAATTTGAACAAAAATGCTCTTTCTGTCGCCACGTGAACTTTCGTACAACAACCAAGCTCGCGGGATTGTCCGTCTGTTTTGGCGTGTCACGTGATGTCGATATGGGGCTTCTGATCGGCTGCAGCTGGAGCGGTGCCTCGATCCACAAACCCAAAATGTGCACGTATGCTTGCGACACGGAACCAGAATGTATTTATCCTGGAGAAATCCCATGAGCTATGAAGTTATTTTTCACAGATGTCCAGTAAAGGGGGTGGGGGGGTCAGAAAGTTACAACAAACATGCATTGCATCGCGCCCGCAATTTAATCCGTACCTGCCACATACGTTCGCACGGCACCGGCAGCCATCGAGAGGTGACGCACTTGACGATGGTAGATGAGAGGATCAATGCATGGCAACCTCGAATCGTGACAATTCAATGAATTATCAAGGGGTGTGGGTGAAGAACAGTTATATGGGTAATTGCCTCCCCTCACCTGTACAAGGCTCCAAGTTTTACATACAGGGAGGCAGAGGGAAATAGAGGGGGGGGGGACATAGAGGAATAGTAAGCTGAGCCGTGATATGTTGTTATTCAAACACAATGCTTCTAAGAGAGTATTCCTCGCTACACCCCATGCCGGCATCTCGCGTCTGTCTGTCTCTTATTTCAGCATCGCGTGTGTGAAGCAAACGTAAGAGGTTCGATTGCGAAGTGATTTGGCCATTCAATCGCCTTGTCTGAGAGTCGGTGAATTACAGATACAACCAACCCACCCACCCTAACACATTTGTATTGGGGGGGCAGCGTGAAATGTTGGGGTCCGTGGTTCAGTGTCCCTGACCGCAGTCGGCACACAGGAGAGGCAGCAGCAGCAGCGTAACGAGCAGTGCTGGCCAAAGCTCCGAGTTGGGGCCCCTTGACAACCCCCATTAGACATGTTAAATGTTCGAGACCGCGAGCGTGATGATGTGATTGTGCGAGAGGAACCGCGCTATATAATCGCGACCATTCGAGACAAATTAAATAGATGGGGACCCTGCCTGACTAATGTCCGTGCTCCCAGAGCTGATAGTGTAGTTGACTCCGCCACTGAGAGGGAGTCTCTGGGATTCTCCACTTTGCCCATCAGGTGTCCGCATCCTCCGCGGTTTGTGCGGGATCCGGTGAAGGCGCTCGACTTTGTTTCCGTGGCGATGGAAGCCGAGCAGCGTGGTGGTTGGCTCGCTGATGAGCTGAGCTGTGTGTGTGTGCGCGTTGTTGAACTTCTGTCGCACCGTACGTAGGCAAAGGTGCTGATGGGAGGGGGGCGGGAGAAGGACAACAAACTAAACGCAAAAGCAGTTCTAAAGAAATCCGGGTTTTTTTTTCAATCTAGATGTTTTCAAAGTGCGGTGGATTCCTCTTGTCGGAAGGAAAAGAGCGTTCCAGACGGCCGCAAAAGCGCGCGATGCGTTGACCGCCGTCTTTGTTCGGCGGGGTTGCGGACGCAGGGCAGTTGCGATGTTTGGGGCTCGCCCACCAGGTGTGTTCGTTGGACACTTTGCCAAGAATCACCGCGAACCTGGTCCGTGCCGCTTCGATGCTGACACTCGCGCCACGACGCAGTCGCCCGGGTCTTCTCGACGTTTGCACGCTTCGCATAAAAAAGGCCCCACGTCGCTGGAGGGAGATTGGCAGTGGCATTTACGAAGGCCACTGCCATGTGCCCTGCCCAAATTTCTACGCCGAATAAGTGCTGCTAGGAGGGACTGGCTGACAGGAGGGCTGATGGATAGGCAGCCGTGCAAAATGGCACTATACCTCCGGTATGAGCTCACGAGGCGACGATTGGTTAAGGTCATTGGGGCTTTGTTGCCAGTAGCAATGCAACCTACGTTCCACTAACTGTGATGGACTAGAGTATTTGCATGGGACGTTGGGAGTCAAATGTGAGAATTAAGAGATTGTGTGACTACTGACGTGCAAGCCCATCATGTAAGAATGTGCTGTTGGGACGTGTTTCTACCTTGCTGCTAGTAGGGTAAGGTGCACAAACATAAACGACTTGAGAATGTCTGCAGAAAATAAATTGACAGAATTTGGGTAACGCTAAGCTAAGAAGAGGCTATACTGTACTGAAAAAGTGTTATCGTTCATTAAGGGGGGTTCTTGTTAAAATCAAAGCCACGTTGATTGCAAACACTGAATTCGCTTACTTTGGTTTGCACTGATGAATGTAACATTTGAAGTGGGGGGCTGTCGCTTGATTTGGTGCAACAGACACGCGTTATTAACTTTAACAGGTACTGAAAAATCCGCATTTCTGTGAACCACAGTCAAAACTTTAATCTCCCTCCCCTAAAACATCCAGGTAGATTATGTTACAAAATCAAGTTGAAGCTCTCTATAAGATTTCTAGTCAACTTTCCTATCGGGCTGTGTAATAAGGTGACAATAACAGTAATATAAAACGTGAGTAGGTGTGAAGCAAACTGCTGCTTGTGTGACTCGTCATGGAGATTGAATGCCGTCCAGCAGTGGATAGATGATGGTAGATTATGATTGCTGCTGCTGCTGATGATGAAGCCATCTTTTAAAAGTCAATAATTGCTGAGCACTGTAATCTCTTAAACCATCACAAAAGTATTTGTCATCGTTTAAGATCCGTCCCAGACAAACGTCATGTTTTTACATATACTGTGCGTACGTTGGATATAATAACCTGTACACTGTATACAAAATCCAAGCCCTGATATTTTTTTTACTGAAATGTAAAATTAGCTTTACTAATGTTATTTTAAAGTTTCCGTAATTGATAAAAAAAAAACTGAACGTGGTCAGTGTTTTTTTTTTAAATAATTGTATAATTATAATAATGTGTTCACGAAATTGTAAATCTTTTAACATTTTATTTTCCGAATGGTAAACAAATAGGTTGTTAACTTGTGTTGCACAGACGTATTGATATAGTAGGCATACAATTGCACTTTAGATATACAAAGCGAGATCGTTGTGTTTATTTGAATTGTGATTTTACTCAAGACTATTGCAATAATGTTAATAAAACTCTATTTACTCTTACTCTGATTTGTCGTGTTTGTTATTGATACACAAAGAAAGTCTTTGAGTCAACCTTAACATTGCTGCACAAAGACGAGTCACAACCGCGGTTTCACATTTTAAAAAATTAACCCGTAAAAAAAAGTGTTTCACTATAAATCCTTTATATGCGTGGCATCGGTTTTATTTTATTATTCATTTCTGTTTTTCTTGAGTAAGAGTTTCATTTTTATCACATTGGTATTTTAAATTAAATATGAAAAAAAAAATTCCTAAAAAGTGGAAAATTTTGGAAAAAAAATTTTCACGAAAATAAATTGTCACGCACAACGAGTCTGTGTGCAAAATGTCAGCTCGATTGGATCACGGGAAGTGGGTTAATAAACGACCGAAAGATTTGCATGGTCGTAAGCGCACAAGCAAGCAAGTGAACTTAATATAAAGGATTTAAAAAGCACGTGGGCAAACACTGCACCGGTGGTGGAAATTCCATATTTCTGTGGCAGGGTTAAGTTTGCACAGGTCAATCACTGTTGATGTTTGGCTTGTTTTTTTTTTCTCCCGCCCAAGCCGAAAGAGTCTATTCCTGACCAGGAATTTAATTCATAACCTTACTTTGTTTTTACTCTGGGGCCGTCCATAAATGACGTCACGCACCTAGGGGAGGGGGGGTCAGACATTTGTGACGCCGTGGGACGAGGGAGGGGGAGGGTCAAAAATCGTCCAAAATCGCGTGACGTCATTTATGGACGGCCCCTTTTCCGTGTCTATTTCCCAATTCATTAACGACGTGACGACACGAGCCAATCCATTCGGAAGTCTCGCAGAGCATTGCGAGAGAGAACGCTCCACGAAATAACATTTTAGCTTCATCATTGTAGAAGTTAAATCTGTAAACGAAGATTAAAAGCCCCCCACCCTAAGAGTCATCATCACTATCCACTGGCAGATAACCCGTAGGTGTCTTCTGCACATTGTGCCATTTGTTTTCACTTTTCCTCTGCCTTGTGCCAATATGCTCAAGTAGTACCACTTATTTCTGGCACCGATCTTTTCTTATGTCGTCGTCAGACCATTCTCAGTTAGGTCTTCCTCTCTTTCTGGTTCCTATTTTTCCGAACAACACACTTTACATTTTCCTGTTCTTGTCCATCCTACACGTGTGTCCAAATAGTGTCAGTGTTATTATCATCACTGCCTGCAGTCATCAGGTTGTCTTCTTCTATGCGCAACCTTTTTCTAACTTCGACTGTTGGTCACTCCTTGGGTCCGGTTTGGATGCAGCAATCTTCTGCAGCAATACATTTCGAATGGACAGGCTGGAGAGAAAAACAAGACACAAGATTGACACAAAATGTGTAAAACGTCTGGGTAAATACAAACAAACCCATCACCAACTGGTTTATAGTTGATTTGAATCTTTCGTGACTGCAGGAATCCATACTCTTTGGTCCTTTCGGTAAAGTCACGTAGGTGTAAAATAAAATAAATCACTACGTTTCGGGCTGCAACACAAGCGTCCATCATCAGGTGGGAAGGCGTGGTCTGCTGCGTGACTTTACCGAAAGAACCAAAGAGTAGCGTTTTAATATCGTCATCTACCACTGCGTCACTGCCTCTTTCAGTTGATGACATTTGCTCAAATTTGATTTTAATCGTTACGGTAATACCCCGGTTTACGTCGGAGATGCGTTCCTGAAAGGTGCGACAACGAATATCGAAACGACGTCCGACAAAGCGACTTACAGGGTAGGAGGGGGGAGGAGGCGATGGCTGAGAGGCAATGGATAACGAGACACGACGGACGAACGATGCTGTCAGCGACGTAAGTGTGGGGAGTTGAGGCGAAGCCAAGCAGGTATCGGTGTTAATAAAGTGACGGCGTATTTGCGAAACGCTGTGAAAGCATGAGACGTGCCTTTCCCGCACCTCCGATTAGCACGGTTGGCTACGAACGGTGTAAAGGAAGTTCAACATGCCTTAGACCGGTGGACCACAATGCACCTCTTCAAGAAAGTATGATTTGGTTTTGTTGGTGCGTACTGCACAATGGCCGAGTGCTTCTTGTTCGAAACTCACTGCGGGAGCACGTAGGGGGCCGTCCATAAATGACGTCACGCACCTAGGGGGGGAGGGGGGGTCAGACATTTGTGACGATGTGTGACGAGGGGGGGGGTGTGTTTGAGAAATGTGACGTCACATCAAAATGCGCAACTTTAAATAAATATAGACAACACGTTCTACTTAATTAAACAGACTTTTTTTATAAATGTTTTCTCCTACAACATCAGAGTGCAGCGCCACATTAAATACGCACTACAATGACAATAGTTTAAAGCGATTTGAAGCATATTTTATATTTGGGTGGGGGGTCAGAGCTTTGTGACGTCATATTTGAGGGGGGGGGGGGTCTGACTTTTTGTGACGCCGTGTGACGTAGGGGGGGAGGGGGTGGGGGGTAAAAAAAATCGTCCAAATTGCGTGACGTCAATTCTGGACGGCCCCAAAACGACCGCATGTCAAGGCAACCCGCGGGTGTTTAATGTGCGGCACCTGATTGGTGGCGTGGCACTGGGTGTCGCTTGCTCTCCGATGCACGACGCTCGCTGATTGTCCCCCGCCATGCACTGGGGTGAGGGGTGGACCCTGGGTCACGTGCAGAAAATCAAGAGTGGCTATAAATATTCACCGAACCAACCGAGCAACTGCACCGCATGAACTGTTTATTCCGGAGACGTTTGCCTGGGTCGAGTTACACGTGGGCATATTCTGAGTGCCACGAGACCGGTCCTGGACCTCCCCCTAGGTCGACTCGGCCTCAAATGAGTACCTGGTGCGCTGTGTAAACATCGCCGCGGGGGAGACAAAGGCGGCCGGGCGTGGTGCTGGCCACCCACCCCCTCGTGTGCCGTGCAGACCTTCACAGGTGCTCGTCTTTGTCTTTGTAGGGTACGGTCAAAAAAATCAACATCAGTACACACGTTTAGAAAAGTTAAAAGGCGCAACGCTGAAATGTCTTGCCCTTGCCACTGCTGGCAGAAGGCCCTCCACTAGAGGGAGCACGAGAGAGCCCCTTAAGATGGCATTTGGCCTACTCTTCCAACCTGGCCAGACGTCTCGGAGGAGTACCCACAATGCAGTGCGCATGATATAGTAAAGAAATACATAAACACGTGTGCTGCTCTTATTCAATCCACTGCTGGGATGAAGGCCTCCCCACGCTATTAGTTTCACCATACCTCACCGTGCTAGTCAATGCGCGTTGGTGAAGTGGAGGGGGGGGTGCAGTGGTTGACTGGATATTGGTCACCCGACCGCTGTCGGCTGTGAAGAGAAGACTCCGAAAGCGGACCCCTACCGTGTGGGACAAAATCTCGGGAGAAGGCGGAATCTGATTATAATTGCTCCACTCGTGTTGTCATTCCATCTCGCGTTCTAGTTCCGTTTCGCTTAATCATCAACGCGAGCTCCATCACTGCTCACATCCCCCATCGCCTTTTGTGGTAATACGTCGTGTTCGATTTATATTCTCGTCCTTTTTCTCGTGGTTCTAGAGACTTCTGCGTATTTATCTAGTAATAGACGTTGTCGATTATAGAGATACTGTACAGTATAATGACGGCTGCATTGCGGCAGACATGATGAATATAATGAGGTGGTCCCTCTTGTGAACAGACACAAACACATTCCTGCGGAGGGAGCTGGTAGGAACGTTGGGTTGCTCGGTCAATGGCCAGGGTCAACGGCGGCGTGGTGTATTTCCCAAATATGCCCGACTGTGAGGGCGGGCACAAGCCGGCGTGAGTAGGTTAAACGTTGAGTTTTATAAGGGCACCACGGGGTGACCAGCCCCTCCCCACCCAGCCCCACACCTCCCACCCCCCACCCAGCCCCACCCTCCCCACCCAGCCCCTCCCCACCCAGCCTCACCCTCCCCACCCAGCCCCTCCCCACCCTCCCCACCCTCCCCACCCAGCCCCTCCCCACCCTCCCCACCCTCCCCACCCAGCCCCTCCCCACCCTCCCCACCCAGCCCCTCCCCACCCTCCCCACCCTCCCCACCCTCCCCACCCAGCCCCTCCCCACCCTCCCCTCTCCACCCACCCCTCCCATTTTTGGATGCGCGGCGGACGGACGGACACAATAATCCCATGTGGCCTGGTGTAACCAGGAGGTTCCTACCAGTACAAGGTTTCAGTTTGGTGTTCACACAAAATAGTTGATGGCCGTGGCGCTCATTCGCGGCTTGCCGCAAATTGCCGTTCCAAAACAGTCTTCTTCTTCAATTCAATTATTAACGCTGCTGCTGTAAAGTTGAGTCTTTACAGTTTTTAAGATGGCATACATTTTAATCAATATTTGATTCGTGCATTCTCTGGGTTAAAAGATTAAACTTTCCCTCTCCCCCCACTCACGACCACCCGCAGTCGAAATTAAATTTTGGGATACATTCATCCTCAGGGATACCAGTGTTTGAACCTAGTTGTTCAGAATCATCGATACGTGACCAGCCAGAGGACACCGCCAGATGTTCAGAATCATCTTCCCAAAAGCCATCCCTCCCGATTTTAAAGCTGTGGGTTCATGATGATCATCCGCTGGAAGACTACTCGTTGGAGCATTACCGATTACCCAAAGCTTGTGGTGCATCTTACTCTCCGGAGCATGTTATCGTTCGGATAACAAGGTAATAGTTTATTATACCGGCCCACTCTAAATGCTTGGGAAAGCTCAATACTGATTTATCACCTGATTGGCCATCGCCGAGCCAACTTAGTGGTGGGTTCTTGCCAACCATCGCATTGCAGCATGAAGCAAGCTGATCGTCTAACACGCCTTCAGTAATGCATCCGTGACTCATTGCCTCGATTGAAAAGTAAGGCAGCAGAGGAGGCACGCGGCATTGGCAGGGGTAGGCGAGAGACTATTTTATTAATGATGCCATTTTCATTCATGTTTTCCAAGCAAAGATAAAAGCGCTAATGCGTTAACTCTGCTCGTGTATCAGAACGTGTGTCCGT